GGGAAGGATAAAGAGAAGGACACGCACGGGGCGGAGAACGATGAAGAGGTCGAGCAGGAATGGTGAAAGCGGAGCAGGGGCAGGGACAAATGCAGGAGCAGGGGCAGGAGGAGGAGGACCTCCGCCTTCCCCCTCCTCCTCCGCCGTCGTTCCCTCGCCTCCCCTATCTTCTTCCTGGAAGACGAAGGAGAGGAGAATCGTGAGGATGTGGAAGAGGAGGAGGAGGAGGAGGAGGACGAGGAGGGGAAGAAGGGCACGGAGACGGAGAAGTCGAAGGACGAGGAATCGGGAGGGGCCATGACAGTGACGTTTCAGTACCCACAAGGGCAAAGCCATCAACGTCAGGGGCAAGGACACGGGTCAGGAGATTCAGGAGGTTGATTAGATTGGATGAGGAGAGTGATGAAGCACATGGTCTGGATGAGAATAAGCAGCGATCTCATTGTGGGGTATTGACGTGGAGTGATGAGGTGAGTAGAGGTGTCATAATTCTACCTGCTCTAATGGTAGATGCGCCGTTCGGTAAAACATCTATCGGATGATAATGTTACGTATACCAAACATTTAAGGAAAGGGAAGCGGCGCAGTCGAAGGAGAAAGGGGGCGTACCATGAAAATTGCCACGGGAAGGGAGGGGGGGTAAGTGGTGGAGAAGAGACATATGAAGAGGAGGAAAGGGAAATTTGAGGAGAAGAGGACGGGGAATGATAATCATCAGAAGGATAGTCAAGAAATTGCTCTTTTCAGGGAAGATGAGACGTAGGACATGGACGAAGAAGGAGGACAGGACGGAGCACCATCATGCCAATGACAGGGCAACGGTTGTGGTGATTCCCAGGGCAATGACGACGGAAGATGGTAAGGACGGTGGTAGCCGTTAGGTTGTATATAACATGTTGGGGTATTGGGCCGGAACATCCCGAATTTCCCTCCACATCTTTGGCCCACTACATGTTTGACCCCTCCACGGCCTCTGAGCGACCAGAGCAGCCCAACAATGTCGACGACGCCCCAAGGTTGCCTCAAGACGGCCCAGGCGGCACCCAAGACGCCCCGAGAAGCCTGCAAGATGCTCCCGAGAGGGCCCCAGGAGGCCAAAAAAGCAACATTTATGCCTTAAGGGAACCTCGTATTTTCAGCATATTCGCTTTGAGGGTCTTAACAGCATCCAAGACGGCCCAAAAGGCCCCCAAGATCGCCCCAATACGGCCAAAGAAGGCCTCAGGACGGCCCTAGAGAGCTCCAACACTGTCCAAGAGGCGCCCAGATTGCCCAGAGCCTTCATATACTGCGCGCCGTGGGACTGCAGCGGAGCACGCGCGCATGGGGCGCGCTGAAGTGTCCTTCGTGGGGCACGATCAGCGTGAAGGTTGTGCCAGATAATTCGTATGCGTCCGCGCGAGCACGCCCATTTAGGCTGCAGGAGGAGGAGGAGGAGGAGGCTCTGGGCCCCACCCGTGCGAGAGGCGTGTTGCGAGATAGGCGGGAGGACGCCGTGCGAGAAGCTACCCACCGGCGCCACAGGTGGAGCTTCTTCTGCGGAACGGTTCGCGTGACGGGCGTGCCGAGAGGGGCGGGGTGGCTTTGTACGTAGCTCGTCTCTTCTGGACGCCCGACATGGGCACGGAAAGAATGGGCACGATGCCCAACAGCAGTTCCTGTTCGTTTTGAACAGGATTCGTTGTCCACGCCGCCGCGGCCTGTGTTCATTTGAGACAGAAGGCCGCCTGCCCAACAGCGGCCGCTGTTGGCTCGGGACAACATTTGCTGTTGGGCATCGTACCCATTTTTTCGGTACCCATGTCGGGCGTCCAAATCTCTGGGCCTGTAGGTGTTGCTCCTTGTGGGCACGATCCGCGTGATGGGGTGTGCCGCAATGGCCAGGGGTGGGGGGCGCAATGCGAACTCTGCCTCTGGGGGCGCCGCAGGTGGAGATCCCCGTGGGCCACGGTCCGTGCGAGAGACGTGCCGAAGTAGCCGGGGGGAGGGGATGCCAACCTTGTATTGGGGCCGTCCGTGGGAGTCCTTGCGGGCCACGATTCGTGTGAGGAGTGTGCCGAAGTTAACGGAGCGATGCTATGAAGCTTCCCTCTGGTGCCGCAAATGTAGTCACCTGCGGGGTACGATTCGCGCGAGGGGTGTACTACTATGCGAATCGTGTCTCTGGGGGCGTAGGTGGAGCTCCCTGTGGGCACGTTCCCTGTGAGGGGTGTGCCGACATGGGCGAGGGCACGCTCAGCCAAGCCTGTCTCAGGGGCCGTCGGTGCAGCTCTGTGAGGGACACGACCCGTACGACAGTATGTGTCTTCCGATGCCGAACACTTCAGGCTGCAAGCAGAACTTGTCAGAACCTAAGCGCGCGCGAAGCGCGTCCGCGTGGTTCAGAAGTGTGGGCGGAAGTAGCGCTTGTACCAGCAGCGATGGTGATTCGGCTGGTGGATGGGGATGCCACATCGGAGATTAGTAATCTTCGGGGTAGGGGAATGCGAGTTATAGGGGATACCGAAATGGAGAGGGAGGACTATGATCGCAGGAGCGGAGAATACGAGAACTAAACGACAGATTTTGCGAACAGCTATGCGATTGCAGACAGTGTGCACTGGCGATTATAATTGTGTAGCGATGCGTGCCTTTGCAATGGCAGTGCTACGACTACGTAGATGATTCCGCCTGGTGGCAACTCTAAGATTACGGTACGATCAAAGATGATGAGGATTAGGATGCGTTGATGATGAAGATCGTGAGCGTTACGATTACAGGAATGGTGCGTACGGTTGTGGTAAGGGGTGGGGTAGCGATGTTTCTACGCATACGTGAACAGAGTGGCAAACAGGATATACGTACCATGAGATGGTTGCGAAGAACGTGACGATGGTACGAATTCGTGCGGTGATGAGGGTGTCAGCGATACGGATTTGGGTATATTCGTGTTTCTCGTCAGTATCTCCCCACCCCTTCCTGTGCGCCTCTTCTCCACCTCCCCGTCTCCCTTGCCAGCCCCTCCCCCCCCCCCACTCTTCCTGCTAGCTTCGCGCGGGCCCTGTACGCCAGGCACGCCGATGACTTGCTTGCAGTAACTTCTAGAGGATTTGCCATCGGGGCAGCCACAACCGCAGGGACCGGAGAGGAGAGAGCAGAAGGAGGGACGGGGGTGGGCCGGAGAAGCTGGCGGGAGGTAAAAGATGGGGGAGGAGTCAGGGGCAACGATAGGGGGGGATAGGCATAGGGGGGGATGCATCGACCCCCAATTGCCCAATGATCGCCGATAGGGGCCCGATAGCCCCAACCTGCCCAGGCAGGTGCGGATTCACTATCGGAGGCCAATCGCCGATCTATCGACGATGTATCGCCGATTCCAGGTCGATGCATCCCCCCCTATGCCAGTCCCCCCCCATCATTGCCCCTCAAGGAGGAGGAGAGGGTCCATGGTAAATCCAGGATTCATCAACGCTGTTGCAATACATCCTCCAGTGCCAGGCCTTATGTAGCAGAATTTCATACCAGAGTTCTCCATCACGCCGAAACGCAGTTTATGACGCGATCGACAGCAGGCAGGATTGATCTCGGCCGCCGATCGCGCAACCAATAGCATGCCTCGTCCGCCGAGTGCGCAACCTGGAGCGCAAGCCATGGATGGACAATGGCGCAACCCACTTCGGAACCCGTGGATGGCGCCATTCATTCGCGGCGAGGCCCATGGCGTGACCCATGGACGACGCAACCTATGGCGCACCCCATGACGCGCCACATGGGTGGCACAGCCTTGGCAGGCTCCACAGGGCGACGCCCGATGTATGCTCCCTGTTTGTTAGCGGCGAGCTGCCTTGGATTCAAGGAAGTGACCCGCAAGACTACCGCGTTCGACAAAGTATGTCCTCCATCCATGTGAGCTGTAGCACGCTTCCCCATTCTGGTCCTGAGAGCGGGGAGGTCTCAGGCGATAGCCACATTTTGAACATGGGCCGCCCTCCATTTTTGTAACTGTTGTACACGCCTACAACCCCGCACGAAAAGCAACTGGGGTTTTCGCGCCCCCCCCCCCCACCACCCCACACCCCCCCCAATTTCAATGTTCAACGCGGGGTCGATTTGTTTTTCGAACTTCGCTGGTCGCACGATGAACATTGAAATTCGGGGGCCGGGAAGCTCGCCAAACCCCAGTTGCTTTTCGCACGGGGTTGAGGATTACAAAACGAATGACGACGACACAGGAGGAATGACGACGACGAGGACGCATACCGTAGCACCCCGCAATTGCGGATGAGAGTGGTGGGGGGGGGGCGGGCGCGGCCGACGCGGTCGTCGAGGCGCCGCAGTTTGCGTTCGCGCCGCCTTGCTGCGGGTGGGTCGCGTGGCGGGGCGCGGGGAGGACGACGACAACAAAAGAAAGCGCCGTCTTGCTCCGGGTGGCTCGCGGGGCGGGTCGCGGAGGGGACGACGACAACAACAAACAAGAATCCGCGCCGCGGACCGATATTTCAGCCACGCGCCAAGGGACAGTGAATGACCGTTCGGGCCCCCTCGCTCTGATGTTTCACGCGCCAGTGCAACGAGGAACGGGCAGGACGGGCATGAGGGCATGAGGTCGTTCTGGAGGAATGCGGGCAGCAGCAGGAGCAACGACGAGGGATACGTCACGGGGGGGAGGGGGAACGCGAGGAGGCGCGGAGGAGGAAGAAAGGAGGAACAAATGATAGAGAATAACAGCATGAGTGGTCCAGATGAAGAGGGAATGAACTGTGATGTTCTCAAGTGATCTAGGTCAACAGGCGGAACTGCGCTCCCCGCGCCTGCCGTGGTCGGATATTTGGAGGGCCACCTCGCCAGGCAGGCGGCCCATGCGTCTGCTAAAGCAGCCCCGTGCAGCGCAGCCTGCACGACTCAACGATGCACCGAATTACATGGCGCGTGGCGCACTGGCGTGCGCCACACGCACTCTTCAAACATGCGCTTTGCGCACTCTGCCCATGCGCCACGGGCGGCAGACGGGGCCCGACCGTCTACATTTCCAAGGACTTCAGCAGACGGCGCTGCTCGAAGTGCCTCAGCGTCCCCCAGGCACGGAGGCCGCGCCAGTCGTCCTCTGTGAGCTCCCCCACGCCGACAGCACCGAGCTCCACAAGCTCGACGCGCAACGCCCTCACGGCCTCAGGAGGCAACGCCGCCTTGACCGCCAACTCGTCCAAGCCGTTCACGTTGATGGCCGCTGCCGCCTGCGCCGCGGTCGCGGCCCCCGAGGGCGCCCTGGCGCCGTCGGCCAAGGGAAGCACGGCCGGCGAAGAGCGGAGCGCAGCGGGCGCGAGGCGGACAAGGTCGTCAATGTCCGCTTGCGCCGCAGCCTCCCGGATCCAACGGCACATGCAGCCAGGACAGGGGCACGCGTCCCTCATGGCAGTCCTGGGCAGCACCCTGGCGGGGAAGACCTGCACGCGACTCTGCATGTGGCGGACGTCTTCGGCCGACACGGCGCCTTTCGGCTCCCAGAGCTCCGCCTCCTTGGCCGTCATGGCGGCGCCCCTGTTCCACTGCGCGTCGGGGTTGCCGTCGTTGAAGCTCTGCGACACCTGGACCTCGAAGGGGTGGCCCGTGAAGAGGCTCAGGAAGGTCGCCACTTCCACGGTCTTCTGGGCGTACTCCACTGGGCGATAATCATCCCAGAAGATGAACCGCATGTTCCCCTTGGTGATGTTGCGCAAAGCGAACTTGGACCCCAGCGCCGGTTTGTGGAGCACGTTCGACTGCCCGAACAGCTTGTCAAATGGCATGAGCAAAGTGGACTTACCTGTGTTGGTCGGGCCCACGATGAGTGGCGTCCGCGTGGTCTTGGAGGGCCCGTTCACGATAATCGACCTCAGGGCGCAGGCCAACTCCGCGCGAGAGATGTTGCCCTGGTTCACCTCAAAGAACGCCTCCGCAGCCACCTTGTAGCTGCACTCATCGTCGTCATTGCCGCAGGCGTCATCGGCGGCTGCGCAGACCATGTCCCAGTCGGACTTGCGCTCCAAGTCGGCGGCCTTCCGAGCGATCCCCCACTCGGCGGCCTCGGCGATGTGCTCGCCCAGCTGCCGCTGGTGGTTGTGGACGAAGCGCTGCATCGCCTCGGTTCCGCGGCTCTGGATGCACTCTAAGACGGCGGCCTTAGTCTTGAGCTCCTGGTCCAGGATCACTGCCGTCAGGTCGAGTTTGCTGAACTTCTTCGGCGGCGCGCCCCCCGCGGCAGCACTCTTCTCTACCTCCTCGCGGCGCCTCTTCCACGCGCCGGCCTGGAAAGGCCGCTGGGACTCCTCGAAGAAGTCAATCGGGGAACCGTCGTGGGACCAGGGCCACGCGCTGCCGTCCGCGACGGGCTTCTTCAGCGTGGGGATGGCACAGTATCGCAGCGCGCTCCACCACTGCGAATGGCTGCAAGACCAGCGGGTAGCCATCTTCGCATGCTCGCGGACGGCGCGCTCGACGGGGAACCAGCGCCTGTTCTGGAAGAGAGAAACTGCGGCATGGAAGTGCGACGACCCATCCGCGTGCGTCTCCTGTGGGGAGCGCCCCACAAGGCGGGGCGAGATCTCGCCGGCCAGCGACGCGCCCCGCTCGGAGCTCGCGCAGGCGGCCCAGCGCCGAGCGAGGCATGTCGCAGCCGGTCGGGGCCTCGCCCGCCCGCGCAGGATCCCGCCCCAGAGCCTTGAACACCGCCATCTTCTTCACAACGCCGCCCCCATTCCCGTTCAGGGCGCTCAGGGGCGCCTGCCCGACGCCCTCGCGACTCATCGCCTCGACGTCCACCAGGTCGGTCTGGTCGAGCGCGTCCGGGAGAACGCGGGATATCGTCACAAGGTAGACGCCCCGCTTCGCATCGCGCGCGGGGTCCCCCAGGTCCGCCGCGAGACGGTTCATGCGCTGGGCCGGAGATCCCTGCTGCGCCAGCGCGGCCTGCACCTCCCTGGAAACGTCCTCGGCAAAGCGATCCAAGCCAGTCTCGGGCAACCCGAGATGACGAGCCAACCTGCGCGGCGCGGAGACGCAGCCCTCCCCGCGCGCCGGGCGTCGACTCTGGGCAAAGTGCGCAGAGTCGACGCACGGCGGGAAGTGTGCGTCTCCAGCCGCGCACGCCTCTTGCAGAACTGGTCGAGGGTCGCGTTTGCCGCATCCGTCTCGGGCAGCACCTGCATCGCCGCCTCCGTCAAGGCCGCGGGGGACAGCACCTGTGACGGCCCGGCGTTGGCGGCCATTGGCGCTCCCAGTGAGAGCCGTCAGCGGGAGAAGCGGGGAACCTGTTGGGGGCGAACGGCTGCGACCTTGGAGGGCAGCCATCGCGTGCTCATAATTGCCCGCCATTACCCGCCCATTACCCGCTCTATTGCCCGCTCACTATTCACCAATTACCCGCCACTATTATTATTATAAAAGAATAATTAATTATTTTACTTCTTTCTCTTTTAATGAATCCAAGCGGGTAATTAGTAAACAATGGGCGGGTAATAGAGCGGGTAATAGGCGGGTAATGGCGGGCAATTGTGATTTTACGTGCACGCGCGCAGTGGCGGGGGCGGCTGGACCGCTGCTATCCGCTGCTACGCAGAGAGAAGCAGGCGGCGCGGCTGTTGGGGCGCCTCCCCGCTCGCCGCCTGGTCGGCGGACGGGAGCTCGGCAGCCGGCGCGCCCTGGCGGCGCGCAGACGCCGCCCGCCACCGCCGCCGCCGCCGCTCCCCCGCGAGCCCCTTCCCCTGGCCACGGGGCAACGCGCGCCGTCGATCTCCCCGAACAGCTCCTGGCGGAGCATGATGCATTGAAAGCGATGCCAGTATAATGATGGGTGACGGGCAATGAATGGCAGGGCGTGGGCAAGGGTAGTAACGCTTTTAAAGGAACTAAACAAACTCTGTCTGCTGGCGCCGCAAGTGCTTCGTGGCAGAGCCCAGGTGAACAGCGTGCGCCGCGCTCACCACTTAGTCTTCGCGCCGTTCAACTGAAGGACATCTGCAGCGCGCTTTTTCTGGTTGCAACACACCTCCTGCAGGACCTCAGCCTGGTGCTCATTGAGCCAGCGGACGTTCCTGCGGAGGCGGGCCAGGAACTCGGCGCGGCCCTCGATCTCGTCGGGCTCCGTCTGCTCCAGGCGCTGGCGCAGCAAGTGCCAGGCGCCCTCGATCGCGTTCAGGTCGGGGGACGACTTCGGGAACTCCTGAATCACGGTGCACCCCGCCCCTCGCATCGCAGCTAAACTGTCCGCCTGCCACCGGCACTTCTCGTGGTCCTGCACAAGGGCGCACGGCACGTCCTGGCCGAAACACGCCCGGCGCCATTCCTGGAACTTCGACTCCACCAGGCCGAGGCACCGGCGTCCGCCACCAGAGCGCGCGACCAGAGCCCGCGACCCGCGCTGGAGACCCGAGGCCGCGACCGGCGACCCGCGCCCTTGTTGGCTGCTTCATTGACCGACTTCCTGCCTAACGTGCCCGCTGTTGCTGCCCTGATGGCTGGCCCATAAATTCTCGTAACTCTTGAGGGAGCACATTGCCAGTTACACCACTCCTGCCAAGCAGCATTACGCAATCAGGAGTGCTGGAGCCGATCAGCGCCAGAGCACCACCGTGACTGTGAGCACCCAGCCGCCTGTGGGACCACATTGCCAGTTAACACCACTCCTGAAACGCAGCAGTGCGCCTCCTCCTCCTCATCTTCCTCCTCCTCATCCTCCTCCTCCTTTTCCTCCTCCTCCTCCGTTTCCTCCTCCTCCCCCTCCCCTTCCCATTGTCCATTTCCATTGCCCCGCCCCTCCCATACCTCTGATCCTCTCTTCATCCTCCTCCTCCTGTTCGTCGTCATCCCCCCCCTCCTCCTGTTGTGTTTGCTGCTGCCGCTGGCGCTCCTCCTCCTCTCCATCCTCCTGCTCTTTCTCCAGCTCGGCGATCGGCGATCGAAGAACGAGGATCGACGATCGAAGATCGAATATCGACGATCCAAGGTTAACGATCTTTGATCGACGATCGAGGGTCGAGGCCACGATCCATTCATCTTTATTCCCGTCGTCGTCATCCTGCATGCTTCTCCTCCTCTTCCTCCCGCCTCCTGATCCTCCTCATTGCTCCTCCTGATCCTACGGACATCGCAATGGCTTGCGAGCCCAGCAGCCCGCCCGTGAACCCCCGGCTCGACGACCGAGGATCGAAGATCGAAGATCAAGGATCCAAGGTCGACGATCTTGGATCGACGATCGAAGCTCGACGATGGGAGATCGAGGATCGAGGATCCAAGGTGGACGATCGATGCGCAAGGATCCATCCTCCCACCCTCCATCCATCCTGATCTCAGCTCTCTCCTTTCTTCATCGACTGT